CCCCCCAAATTTTTTTTTTCAAAAATTAAAAAAATTAAGCACATTTTTGCCTAAACATGAAAAAGAGAATGCATCCTTGTAGCTAAGAAGCACAATATGGTGACAACTTGCAACAACAGAAGATTATGCTGTGATAGTAAAATGATGATTTTTATGTTCCATGACGGCTAAGGGGCCGCGCTGATCCACGTCACAGTCAGAGTGTTGACCATTGGGAAATCGTTCAAAGGGACGACCACAGACTGAATTGGAGACATAGATATAACATAAGGTAGGGTTAGGAAATATATACACTTTTTATACAGAACATATGAGAGACAAAGATTAAGGTTGAGTTAGGGAATATAATATACACATTTTATACAAAACATAAGGGTGGCAGAGAAATAAGGTAGGGTTAGGAAACATACACTTTTTATACAGAACATATTGGAGACAGAGAAGTAGGGTAGGGTTAGGAAACATAACATACACATTTTATACAGAACATATGGTTATAAATAATATAATAATAATAATAATTGCATTTATATAGCGCATATCCATGCTCAAGAGCTTGGTCTATGCGCTTTACAACTATTATTACCCCAATAGACCCTCTGAGAACAATCAGAAACATTCTCAGCTTCCGCAGAAGCATATAGTGCAAGCTGCGGATTTCACGCGCTCAAACACTATCAAACTGACAAGATCTTTTATTGTCTACAGCTGGGTACCCATTTCCACCTGAGTGAAGTGAGGAAAATTTGTGCAAAGTGCCTTTCCCAAGGACACAACGTCGGGCCCCTGACGGGATTCGAACCCACGACCTTACGGTTGCGAGTCTGAGAGCCTAGGGTTATGAAACATAATATATGTATACACATTTATACCGAACATATGGTTGACAGATAAACAAGGTAGGGTTATGAAACATACTATGCACATTTTATATAGAACATATGGGCGACAGATAAACAAGATAGGGTTAGGGAATTATACCCATTTTATACAAAACATATGGGTGACAAGTAAACAAGATAGAGTCAGAGAATGTATACACATTTTATACAGAACATAGGGTAACAGATAAACAAGATAGGGTCAGAGAATGTATACACATTTTATACAGAACATGTGGGAGACAGAGATACAAGGTAGGGTTAGGAAATAATATATACACTTTTTATACAGAACATAATTATGGGTGACAGAGAAATAAGACGGGGTAAGGCAGTAAACACACACACCTATTGCGAGAGAGGGAGAGACAGACAGAGAGACAGAGAGTGA